ACTGTTCAAGATGCATTAATGAAATCTGCGTATTTTAATCCAGTTATCCACTCATAATAACAACTGATGAAATGTTTGCACATTTTTCTTCAAGTACTTTTGCGGTCGTTTTATGATCGCGCCGCCCTCGATTTTGTCTGTGTGGAACCCCATGTACACGAAGTTGCTGGATAATCGTCTTGTGCTCATTTACGAAGTACAGTAGGTTGGGGCGGAAGATGCTGATAAATTTTTTGTTCTCTGTACACTATTTTTTTACCTATTTTTTCAGGGTTACATTCCAAATCTGTTAGGCATAATTCCTTATGCGGGTATCGACTTGGCCATCTACGAAACGTTGAAGAAGTACTATGTTCGACATCACAAGGACAGCGCCGAACCGGGGGTTCTGGCACTGCTGGCATGTGGTACTTGTAGTTCGACTTGCGGCCAGCTTGCAAGTTATCCATTAGCACTTGTTAGGACACGATTACAAGCTAGAGGTGCCTTTTTGAACAGTCCGCACTGGTTCATACGAGTTGAATTCGATTTTTAGCGATTTCTGGTGACTCTATGCAACCCGATACAATGACTGGTCAGATTCGTTATATACTTAGTAACGAAGGATTCTTCGGTTTATATCGTGGGATTGCGCCGAATTTCATGAAGGCAAGTTGCAGTTGCACATTAAGGTGGTCAATTATTATCATTCGTTCAGGTGATTCCTGCTGTGAGCATTAGTTATGTTGTATATGAACACGTGCGAAAACATCTTGGAGCAACAATGTCTTGATAGTTTGTGTAGACTCTGCCTTTGTCTCTAAATTCACTCTTCACCTAGTGTTCATGAAGTTTGAATTTGGGATGCCATGTTGTGTTTTCCCAACATCAAATTGCATTGATATTGTACAGTTTCGTATAAAAAATAGTGAGCTGCCGTTTGTGTTTGATGAAAATAGGTTGTAGGATATCTATTGTAGCTATCGGAATGCTCTTTTCTTTCATTGTCGTCTCCTTTTCCTCGAAGTTTTTGCCTAATTGCCTGCAACTACTCATCTCCTTCGTGATACGAGCACAAATTCCGCTAGAATCCATAATGTTTCATTCTACTGCAACGATCACTATTAATCCGGAAATGTTGCGCGAGCAAGATACATTTTGTTCCTAGCGTCCGAGCATGTCGTACTTAAAGACCCAGTGGTAGAGGATGGAGCCAAATTGCTAGAGCACCACTATCGAAGATCATTTTAACATCTACTTTCAAGATTATTTTGATTATAACTACATATATATTATTAATTTATTGAAAACATGAAAACAGTTACCAAGACGGCTCTTTACGAAAATATGGGATCGGCCACGAGAACAGTAGATCATTTTGTCGTGTTTGATGTTTGATGAGTTTGGGCA